ATCCCACTCCTGGGAATTTACCCGAGGGAAATGAAATCAGTAAACAGAAGAGCTATCTGCACTTCCATGTTTATTACCACAGAATTCACAATAGCTAAGACATGGAATCAACCTAAATGTCCATCAACTGAGGATAAAGAAATTATGGGATATGTACACTATGAGATACTACACAGCAGGGGCCGGCGCCGTGGCTCACTAGGCTAATCCTCCGCCTAGCGGCGCCGGCACACCGGGTTCTAGTCCCGGTTGGGGCACTGGATTCTGTCCCGGTTGCCCCTCTTCCAGGCCAGCTCTCTGCTGTGGCCAGGGAGTGCAGTGGAGGATGGCCCAGGTGCTTGGGCCCTGCACCCCATGGGAGACCAGGAAAAGCACCTGGCTCCTGGCTCCTGGCTCCTGCAATTGGATCAGCGCGGTGCGCCGGCCGCAGCGCGCTGGCCGCGGCGGCCATTGGAGGGTGAACCAACGGCAAAGGAAGACCTTTCTCTCCGTCTCTCTCTCTCACTGTCCACTCTGCCTGTCAAAAAATAAATAAATAAATAAATAAAAATAAAAAAAAAAAAGAGATACTACACAGCAGAACAAAATGAAATTTGGTCATTTGTAACAAAATGGATCAATCTGGAAAACTTCATATTTAGTGAAATAAGCCAGTCCCAAAAGGACAAATACTATATGTTCTCACTGATCTGTGAGAATTAATAGCACACCTAAAATGGGAAAGTTGTGGAAGTCAAATTGACACTTTGAAAAACAATGACTTGAATAACCCTCATCTTGACCGTTGAGGAACGGTTTTTTATTTTGACTATTTTTTATTTTTTTCCCTCTTCTTCATACTATATGTTGAACTCCTCACTTAACAGAGTTAATCATATGTATATAAAGACAATTGAAAATAGATCCCAGTAAAAAATAAGAGGGGGAATTTGAGAGGGAGGAGGAAGTTTGTAACTATAAAGCTGTATAGTTCTGCATACAGTCCTATGGATTTACTTTAAAGGTACAGCTTAAAAACTTGTCATGGGACTCCAATCCCATTAAAATTGGTGGTAAAAATAACATATTAATTGTAAAAGTGATCATGTTGAGTGTTAAAGTCAACATATATATAAGATTAAGTGTAGAAGAAATCATATAAATAACATCAAGTGCCTGGTAATAATAATAGACAGAATTAAAAAGTAGGGGATGTCCAACATGGAATGCAGTCTACACAGCAGACTCCTAGAATCATAATCGCTGTAAGTAACACTCTGACCTCAGAGTCAACCCTTTAGGCTTCCTGGTTTGGCTAAAAGGCTTGTGAGAGCATTTTAGGCGTGGAAAGCCAAGACACTGTGGCAAAAAATATCCTACATGAAGGATCTCTGTGAGTGAGACCCCAGTGGAAAGCAGGGGCCGGCCGGCTCCGGGGTTCAATAGGTTAATCCTCCACCTGTGGCACCAGCACATCGGGTTCTAG